TAGCACTGCTAGATGCAGTGGCCCGTTGTCTCCCTGACCGCGCAGGCGGCGCGGCAGTTCAACTCCAGCCCTCCTCCCTAGAGTTGCGTACTCTAGACGGGAGCGCATTGATGTGGCAGTGCACGAACTGCACGTAATCCCCATAATGGGTTATGGGTTTAAAAAACATTATTGTAGTATTTATATTGTAATTTTCTACATTCCATATTATTTTTAATTATGCAGTAAAATAAAATATAGTAATTAATACACACAAACGGGATATCATATAAAAGGAATAATGTCAGATCCGACGTTCATCCGGTCTGAATGCTGGACTTTGCTTAGCTGGCCCGTTGAGCCTGCATCTGTACCAGTCCGTTCTATTCGGAGCTTTAGTATGTCACTGACACTGGCTTGGCCACCATCATGGATTTTGATTTTCATAACACAAAAATTTAGTCGCTAATTACTCGAAATTTGTCGCAAAATATCAGAATTTGTCATGTGTGAAAAAGTTCGAATTTTATTATTTGAGTTTACGAGACATTTAGTGTGACGTCGTGTTATTATGTATGGTAAGTAAAAATTGTGGCAGAATGCCTGGCGTGGGTGGATCAGAGGCGCCCTTGTTGGGGCCATCGAAGTGGGAGTCCTCTCACTCGGGAGTATGATTGCAGCCATGGTACGGAGTGTGCACTCCGCCGTCTCCTTCGGCGAGAAAGTTTGATTGCGAAGGAGATGGCAGAGCGGGACCGAGAGAGGTTTACAACTCTCCCGGGCTATGTCACCCTAGCAGAAGCAAACCCAGGTGGCGGCGAGACGCGCTGCGGAACGCGCGCACTTCTTTTAGGAGAACAAAGGGAACAGGGGGGGTTCCCACACAGGAGGTGGTCGTCTACACGCCGTGGATGGTCCGAGGTAAGTCGGGATACCAGGGATATCCTTCCTAGGGTACACCTGGTTCCCCGGCAACTGGTACCCGAGACGGCGTGCGATTTTTGGTCGGTTCGAGTCGACATAACCACCGGTGGGTGGTATCTGAGGGGATTTCCGAACAGAAAAAAAAAAAGGTGTAGAAATAGTTTGAGTACCGGGTAAGGACATAGGATAGCTTTTATCCCAGACATCATCATTAAATAATTGCGTATTCTTTTATCAGAAAATTTAAAAAAGAACTAACTCAGAACTACATTACACATGCCTACTAATAGAAATATTTATTAAACTCGTCGATCCAGCTCTTCGACTACTACTTTTCTACTTTAGTTGGATCTTTATCCAAATTAAGTTTTTTTTTTTTTATTTATTCTTTCAAAGTGTAAACATATTAATGAGAAAATTTTAAGATACATAGCATTTCCTAAGCCACGAAGGTTTATAACGAATGCTAAGAATGTCTCAATCGTTACAAAAAATTAAAAAAAAAAAAATAACAAAAGAATAATAATAAGAAAGTTCTGAATACAGTATAAAACAATATTTCATAAATAAAAAGCGAACAGATAAAACAAGAAATAAAATAGATATGATTAATTTTGATTAAAAAGTAATGGCCGTACTTTAGATTTAAAGTTCACCGGCGTCAGAATATCTCTCAATTCGGAGGGTAGTTTGTTAATAAATCTGGGAACTAAGTATTCGGTTGTTCTTTCACCGTATATATTATTTGTTGTCGCTCGACTGATTTCGCACACAAGATTCCGAGCAGAAGCCCTTGTATATACATCGTGTTTTTTTTTTGTTAAATGTATTGGTGAAAAAGTTTTCTTTCAGTAAATTATATTTAAATTGTGTTTGGATCGGGAGGATTTGACAGTGTTTAAAAAGCCCACTGTCATCGTTATAAAATTGCTTTTTAATTTTTGCTGGAACGATAGTTCGCAAAATTTTTCGTTGTAAGTTATATATTTTTTTTAAATATGTGTTAAAGGTACGACCATAACTACTCAATCCATACTGGATATAGGATTCAGCCATTGAGTTGTATAACATTTTTTTGACTTTAAAGGGTATTCGGTCTTTGAGCAGCGTGATGTTTGCAAGGAACAGTCTGAGTTTATCACATACGTGTTCTATATGGTTATTCCAATTTAGCTTGCTGTCAATAACTAACCCCACATAAGTATGTGTCGTTACGGTTTGTATGGTGCAGTTACATGGATCGTTGGATGACGTGTGTAAGCAGTTGTGGTTGTGTGCACGTATGTCTTTGAATTAAGATTTATGCAGGTATGGAGATTTAATATGCAGTAGTTTGGTTTTATCAGCATTCAACACCAGACCGGCATCATGGCACCACTTTAGAACTGTATCGAAGTCGGACTGTAAGAGTTCTGCGGCCTTTTGCGCATTCTGGTGCGCTGCAACGAGACAGGTATCGTCAGCAAATTGATAACAAGAACTCCATTTAACACACTTGGCTAGGTCGTTTACGTATGTCAAAAAGTGAAGAGGCCCCAATACAGATCCGTGCCTTCTGTAACTGTAATATGGTCGCTGTACGTGTTATCTACCTTCACGGTAGGGATATTCACTTAACATCGATATATCGAATTTATTCGATGTATTCCGTACGATATATCGGATTGATTCGATGATTTGACTAACATTTATTGTATTCGATATATCGATATATTTATTTATAGAAACATCGAATATTTGCTTTTTTTATTTTCTTGTCGAATCTATTAACGAACTAAATAATTTTAACACTACTTGATGCCTTCAATTTTAAATAAGGTTCATTAAGATAGTGACATCTGTGAGTGACCATCTTAATTATCTAATCTATCCTGACAGATCGATCGACTATTCACTCTCAATGTATGTATAGTCTGTGGATTCTATAGGTTCATTATATTTACTTACACTCACTTCACTCTTCTTGCGTCGTCTTCTTCTGTTTGGCGGTAACGCAAATAAATCATTGTTTTAATTGTTTATCTAAGACAAATTTAGGTAAGAATTTTACTTGCTACTACAATTTATTACTCTAAAATTACTGATTTGACCTATCGTTTGATTGCTAGTTCGAAGTTGAAAAGGTATATAATATTATATTTCTATTATGTTTATGAACCTAACCTCTACTCGTTTGTGACAGTGTTTTATATTGAAGATATAATATAATGATCTTTTATATGTATTACACTACTAGTTTAGCTATGTTACTCTGGTCTCTAATTCTACATTCATACTTACAAAATCAAGGACCACAAACTTTGTGCGTTTCACTGGAAAAAGGTAATATTAAATTTTTGTGGAAAGTATTCGATAGTGAAAAAATATCGATGTTTTCTAGCGATATATCGATAAACATCGATGCTGGGATCCAATATTTTACATCGAATATAAATATCGATATATTTTTTAAGTGGACACCCCTACTTCACGGTGAACTTGCGGAGTAAATCTGTGACAAAAGAAACACGAAAAATTGCGAATAATAGACACTAAATTTGCCTATGTCCAGCAGTGGACTGCTAAACAGATCTTCGCTAGGAGCTCTAGTTTTTGAGATAGCGTGACCGACCTGGGAAGATTCTCCCTAGGTCGGCCACCTAAGAACGCTTATAACTTTTGAACCAGTGACAAACAAATTCTGATATTTGGTGACACTTAATCCATGTTGGTGGCCGTGCCAGGGTCAGTGACACCAAAATATAGCCTATTAATATATAAAAAAATAAAGCCTACCTAAGGTCGACTAGGAGAAAATACCTACGGCATTAATCTGCCTTTGTCACATTTGTGCATAATAACAAAAAATGTAGAACTTTACATAGCATGTAATAGTAACGGTTTTACAATCCATAAGCATTTTTGAAATTGAGTTTGAATAAAAATCAAAAGTTTAAAATTACTCATTTATTTGTAGTTCATCTTAAAAATATTTTGTATTTATGTGTTCAGTAATTATTACGATGAAAATTCTACAACTTGATTTATCTACAAAATTAAATATGTATTTCCTTGTAAAGGAAGGAGTATTATGTTAAAATACAAGATAGAGCTGCTTGTACAATTACGAAGGAGAAACTAACCTAACCTAAGATTCATACGCACAATTCACATCACATCACTTCACTTATATATTACAGAATGTTTGTCCATTTTCTTATATCGCAGTCGCCGGCGTCCTCTTAATACCTGCGAAATAAAACAGTTTAAATGAAGATAGGTTTGATCATACAGTATCTATAATACGGATTGAAAATGTTGATACAAAGACTTACCTACCTGCTCTTGCTGTCAGAGCGGCTGCGTCGGTCGCGCGATCGTGAGCGACGCACGGAGGGAGAACGACGCCTCACTGATGGCGAGCGGCGCGGAGAACCTGACCTGCCGCGAGAATATGACCGTCTGCGTGGACTGCGACTGCGAGATCTATCAGTAAAATATCATTAGAATATGCCTTGTTTTACACACTATAGAAATAACAATGTTCAACATCTACACCTCAGAGACGTTTATCTTGATCGATTCTAACACTTATAATTTAGGTTCCACCGCACTGTCTATAATTAATTCGTCTGTTGTGTGACTCATTAGACATTTCAATAGTTGGGGCCAAAATTCAGTAACTTAAACTACATTTTACTTCAAAACCCTAATTACCTACACCATAAACGCCAACTCGATGTTCTTCTAATACTAAGTAAAGGCAAGGTTTCTAAGAAAAGGATTCAAAAAGTACCGAGACATGGTGAGCCTGCGAAGGTCGACCGTTGTGAGGCTGCTGTGAGGCCGAAGGGATTTTATCGAGGCTGAGACGAGTTTCAATGTTATCTTCCGTTGAATGGTGACATTAATTGGAAGTTTCAAGAAATATTGCGGTAACACGGGGAAGCTGTTCGCCTCTAGGTTGTATTTCTAGCTCGGTGCCACGGTGACGACGGTGTGTGCAGTCGGTGAAGCATTAGGAGTTGCAATGACATTCAGGATGTTTTGTAGGTCCTATACTGTGTGGCTTTCTATAATGCATTTTATTCAAGTCCAGGTTCGGATTACAGTGGGGACTAGGTGATGGCAGTCAGGAGGTAAGTTATGGGGACGCAGATGTTGGAGACGACTTCGGCTGCGCGCAGAAGTTTGGAGAGCCGATCGCAGAAGTTGAGCGGGATGTTGTAGCGAGCGGCGTTCGCGGATGTCATATTGGTTAACGAGCCGTAGTTGTGGTGAAGACATGTGGTGAGGTCGTTGGTGTGTTGGTGGTTGGTTGATAAAATGGACCTGCAAACGTTCCAACACCCACCACTTTTAATATCTTCATTATTTTACTTATCTACTGTTTAGCAGATTTGTTAATAAAATTAAATTAAATAATTAAACTGTGTTATAAAGTGCAATAGCAGACTATCTACATATTTTCAGTCAAAGGACTTTTGCATTCTGTTGCCACGAAAATATGGTTCTAGTCATGTTTAGTTTTCATGTGTATTAATTCTAAAAATTAAAATATCTGCCCCTCGTATTAAATTGTAATAAAATATTGATCATCTTAAATATACCAATATATAAAAACAAGAAATACCTGGAGTATCGCCTATCTCTTCTGGTGCGACCATTCGACATTTCAACACGGATGCGGGTTCCACAGCAGCGGCTATTAAAGAAAAAATTAAAATATAAATACTTAAATCTGTAATCTAACACGCAACACTTATTTAAATTTAGAACATTATTAACAGGCCATTTATTAAAATGGCATATTTCAACAGAATTGATATAATAAATGTTCCCCACTCCAAGACAAGTGTTGTCCATACTAATACAACACATCTCAGTCTCGGAATGGAGGTATCATACTCTTGCACACTTATGACTCAAGCGTTTCACATTGACAATGAAACGGATCTAAGGAGTGTGCTATTTTATGTTCAGTATTCTGACAGTTCAGCTGCAACTTATTATTATTTCTGACTATCTACTTCCCTGCAGTTTTACATGCGACTATGATGCATCATAGTACAATATGCAAATAAAATCTGGCTCCAGAGATTAGAGCATTTTAACAAGTCATCCCTAAGATTAAGTACATGTTGTTCTTGCACTACAAGTACTTGAATATTCTTTTCTTTTCTTTTTTTATAAGACAACTCCTGCATTAGGAATATATCCTGTGTCGCAGGGGACTTTACAAACATACATGAAACAGACACAAAGAACACCTAAATGAATATTCAACTCGACCTAGCCTCTCCCAATTCATTTAAACAGGTAGGGGTGGCATCCGCACAGCTATACTTTATTTCGCGTTTTTTTGGAAAATTTCTGTGACAAATGGGATCTAAAAAGTCCTGTTAGATCCCATTTGTAACAGAATTTGGCGAATAAAAATCTGTGATTAAAACCTTGCGGTGAAATATCGCTCTGCGAACAAGCCCTAACAGCTTAAATGAAAGAGCAGGTCAATAAAGACGAAACAAACCTTGTCTCGATTTAACCTGCAGATTAAGGAATGTACAGATAGAAATATGAAAAGTTTAACTAGAGAAGTGTGAAGCTTATGTGATTTCCAATATTATTGATGACAACTCTGTACGTGTTTATTTAAATAGATTATTTACATAGATAACAATTATTAACCCAACCTTATATATATTATTACTAAATAATTAACTAAGATATTAGGCGCGATGTCTATGTTTAAAAGAACGTAGAACCCATAATTGTTTTTGTCACTAGTCACTTTCCAGAAAATTTTAAGTATTGAATTCCAAATGCAATATTCGCTAAGGTACGATATAGATATACACCCAACAAAATAATTTAGTTTCAAATAGGTCAATAGATTCAAAATGGCGGTAAGCACTAGAAAGGAACATAGGTTTCAGTAATCGGATTAATGGAGTTAGTGTAAACTTACCTAGGAATATTATAAATTCTACTTACGTGCCGTCCAACCCTCGTACGGAATCTTCAGCATCCCGTGGATCTTCAAATTCAACAAACGCAAATCCAGGCGGGTTTCTCGCCACCCACACATTTCTTATGTTACCATATTTTGAGAACACCTTTTCAATTTCATATTTCGATGCATTGGTGCCAAGATTTCCCACGTAGACTTTACAAGAAAGATCCCATTCTCGGTAGCGAGACATCTGAAAAGAACAAGCAACGTGGTAATTTCAACGACGCCATTTTGAGTGTTCTTGAAGAGACGGTTGAGGGAATTACAGTATAATTCTTTATTTCTGCATACCTTATTAAATAGTAAGCTGTAAAATAACTAAAAGAGTGTGACACAAAAAACTTCTGTTAAAAATGGTCACACAAAAACAAAATCTCGAGAGCACTGCAATTATCACCTACAACCGCCGATGACGCACTTGCTTGAATTGAATGAAAATGAACACCATGCACAGCGGGCGCAGGGATGTTACCTTGTAGTGAGCCAAAGCTGGTACAGATGTCGCTAAAAGCCCCTAAAAGCTGGTATTTGCAACAAAAAGTTGGTACACTCACAATAACGTTATGATAATATAAAAAAAAATCGTTTATTTTGTGTGTTCTTTAAATGAAATTTTGAATTATCGAAGAAATCCCGTCATGGATAATTCACTCGATTGATAAAGTTAAGTTGAAGTCAGTTATTGAATGTGTTAAAATAAATATTATTATGAACAGTAAATGTTACAATAATCAGTGTTGTATCTATTAGAGTTGTGTAGCTCCTGAATGAGTGATATAAAAGATATATCATTCACGACGATAAAATGTATCACTCACTCACACTAGCTCCGAATATATCAGTAACTCAGTACTAGCTCACTAGATCACTAGCTCAACGACGCCGATCTTTGTTTCATGAGCGAATGAGACTAAAGATAAATGAGTGAGATAGATGATGGTTGAGTTCACGCAAGTTTCTTTATGCAAAATGTACATTATTTCTATAGGATCAAAGTTTAATATTACTTAAGAATTAAGCCTGCCAAGTACAAGGAATAATTTCTTTTTTTAAATATTATATAAAAGGGTGTTAATAATTATGTAATCTTATCAAAATGAATAAATTTTATTTAAAAAAAAAAGGTTAAGAATTTAGTTTCAAAAACTGAATTAAGGTTAATATGAAAATAAAGAAAGGTTTGTATGGCGAGAGAGGCTTAAAGGCTTAGATGAAGAAATAAATTAATTGAGAGACCAATCAATTCCATCGGATCATTGAGCTAGTGAGCTAAATGAGTTGGTGAGCTAAATGAGTTGGTGAGCTAAATGAGTTAGTGAGCTAAATGAGCTAGTGAGCTAGATGAGTGATATATATCTTTTGAGCGAAATGATATGTATCAATCTTTTCAGCTCAGTGATACATTTTGCGCATCACTAGTATCTATGAAGATACAGATACAGATATAAGAAGTTTTTTTTTGTATGATCAATGCAGAAGAAAGTTGGTATTATTGCGTACCAACACAATATTTAGTTGATACATAGTACAAGACCCTGAAAAGTGGTACGTATACCAAGAAATTTGTACGTCTAACATCCCTGATGAACAGACTTCGATCGCCAAGAGTTAGGGATGGAATGAAATCACAATCAAATGTGATAAATCATGTCATCACACCTGTCTGTTTTACAAAATCACTACTACTTAATTATCATTGTTACGCTAGCGCAAGACTCGCGAAAGGTCTAAATCTAAAAAAAGGGTCGTAATTTTTGATAAAAAGAATTTTGATTGTCCTTAATGCCATTTATCCTTGTCTATGACAAAATCAAAATCACATGTTAAATCGCTGTGACTAAAATCATTGCATGAAATGAATATGATTTAAAAGTAGCAATAAACTCTATGTCTACTAGGAGTATGTGTTCTGTCCTTTTGATTCGATTCGACTTCGACTGAGCTCTGTTTGTCACTCTTCACACCAGTGAGGCAGTGAAAGACAAGCTTAAAACAAGAAGCTAACCTGTTTAAAACAAGATCCATTACTTTTCTGGCATTTGGCATTATTTTTCCAAAGCTGGGCAACATTTGTACAACAAAAAAAAGATTCAAAGGAAACTTCTGACAAAGTTACTTTTTTGCAAAGTGTCAGCAAGAAATACTGGGAATAATTATTTTTCTAGTTTGTGCAATAAAAACATTTAATAAATAAAATAATAGATCATATTGGGTTGTTTATATTGCTACATTAAGCATCAATGGTTTTGGAAATCGCTGTTTTTTATTCGATATAACTCTTGAACCGATGTTAACATAGCTGTCACCATTAATGTTTTTCTAATATCGAGCCAATGAGGAAGTAAATAAATATGTATGTATTCTTAGGTGAATGTATCGAGCACCCTTGCATTAACTGAAAGAAATAGCTTGGCACTGGCAACACTATAGCAATACAAATGCATAGAGAAAATATTGAAAATTGTTTTGTTGTTCTTTTTTGTCTCTTACTTTGATAGTATGAACTCCTTACTTCTTTTATTGCATTCAACGAGGAGTATTTAACTGGGAACTGACTTTAGATACAAGTGAACATTTATTTATTTTACAAGCATCGCGGCAGCGCTAGGAAATAATTAAATGCATAATCAAGAGAGAGAGATTAGATTATCCTATTCTTTAATTAAAAGTATTGATTTTTGGATCTCATTAAAGTTTTAATGTTTTGATTTAAATAAAATTATAGCCAAATTTATAAACAAATCAATTGATTAAACATTTATATTTTTTTGTAAAGAGTAGGTTTATTATGTAGGTAGATTTCATGGAGCTATAAGCATGGAGTGAACAAGGTTCTGAATCTTGCAATATAGGCAACTAGAGAGACGGATGCTAGATAGCTCCCTCTCTTTTTCTAGTCGAGCTCTATTGTTGGCTGGGGAATATAGCTTGATGTGCCAGTTTCAAATTGATTTTAATGTACAAATTTCCTGATATTGTTTACATAGTATTTATCAGTTTAGCTTATTCAGTTTAAACGGCTGTAGTTCAGAATTCCTTCTAACAATTACTTTGCCAGTTGTGCATTTATATATTTACACTGCTTTTATTTTGTATAGCTTGTTTGAATTTTTACACCTATTTTATTTTCGAAATTTCTAATTGGGCATGGTTGTAATCGTAGAACAGTCGGGGTTCTACGATTACAACCATGTCCAATTCACGATAGCCAATTGCACCTTAACTAAACAGAGACAGAGTGAACCATCGAGCATCCATCTCTCTCGTTATCTTCATAGCTTTCACACACAGGCCCTGTTATATCCCGTGTGGGCGAACACGGGGTATAACTGCCTGTGAGTGGAAGATTGCTTATCTCTCTATGGTAGATAAAATGATGGTTTCTGTGTTTTTTTTAGAGTCCGACTGAAACAGGATTTCCAGGATACATGGGCCGAACTTTCAGCCCTTGTATCAGTTTCGAAACTTCGGTTGGTCACTAGGTTTTTCTATACATTTAATAGTCTGTGCCTTTAACTTGTCTACTCTTCAAGCCCCGCACCCCTCCTCACCTCATTTTGTTATTTATTTGTCAAACAGCTGATTGTTTCATCGAAATATGACCGATTTTTAGAACTTAGTCAAGTAGTGAATTGAATTGTTTACGAAAATGGATGTGGTAGGGCTACTACATAATATTAACGATAATTCGAATATGTTTGCTGTGAAAACCTGGACGTCGGAATGGTCTAACAACGTTCAGGACAATCAGGTGAGATATTGATTTTTCAACTTTAACCTTGTTTCTTAATACAGTTACATAGATAATAAAAACTATTTTATTACTTTTAAAATCGGCACCTACGTATGTACCTTGTTTCTTTAAGGTCAAAAATGATAATGTATTGTTATTATTAGCATTGGGTATCCTTGAATTCAATGTTACCCAGTTTGATTTAGAATAGATATTATTTTGTATGTAACGTTCGTAATTATCATAAATATATTATGATTATGAATGAAAGCAAATTACCAGTTTGATGCTCGAAGCTGTCGTTATCACTTTGTAAGAGAATCTTCAACTTTAAATTGTTAAGATGTCTTAGTTACCATTTTGTTCAGAAGGCTTTTCTGCGGACTGACTGTGTGACAAAACATCTTTACTTCGTTTTAAAGGCATTCGCAAAAACTATTATTCTGTAAACATTGTTTATTGGCACACTACTTGTGAATATTGCAAGTGTAATAATAATAATAAAATATTCCACACATCTCACACACACACTCTCAAAAAACTAGTCAGAGTCATGCTATGGTGATCAGACTGCTGCTAAACCTACTTATATACTTTTAAATAAATTATAGATAAATTACACCCAGATAGTATGACTTATGAAGTAAATAGTAAATTTCTTTCTTTTTAATAATTCAAAGAATGAAGGTCAAGTTCACAATATTACTAGTCATATTATAATTATTTTATTAGAAATAGATTCCAATAAGAAATACAAATGCTAGGGTTTGAACCTGAAATTAGACTGAAATCCGATTCTTTTTTTATTATCCTATTACTTAATCATAAGTACTTTAGAAAAGAGCGTACTCCTTCCCTAAAGGCCGGCAACTGTGACTCCTGAGTTGCAGATGTTCATGGGGGCTGGTCACTTTCTATCCAGTGACCCGTCTGCTCGTCTGCCCCTGCTAACATAAAAAAAATATATATACTATTAAAAACCTTTAAAGATAATTGAGTTTACTGTTGTAATTGACTTCGTTCCGAAATACTGTATCATATTTGTTTAGTGTTCAGTTAACCAAAATACAGTGATTCAAATTCATAGAATTTCTGTAAATTATGATAATAATAATAATATATCCTAAATTTGTCACACCTAACACAAGCCTGATATAATTGATCATTTCACCAAAAGCAGCAACTTTTTTGTGTTGTATGTGTAAGACTGTGAAATTTTAAACGGTGTATTAGAGTATCTGATTTAAGCACCATATAAAGATCGGGTAGTTTAGGCCACACATGCTTTAGTGTTTATTGTAGTGCTAATTATAATATAATAATAATATTCTACCACATTCACACAACACCATCTAGTCCCAAAAATAAGCAGAGCTTGTACTATGGGTACTAGACAACTGATATAAATACTTTTTTTTTGTAAATACCTAACTAATACCTAAAACTAAATTAAACATTTAATTTTAATGCACTTTAATAATATACCTCACACATCTCACACACGGCCGTCTGATCCCAAACTAGGCAGAGCCTGTGCTATGGTAACCAGACTGCTGATAAACATACTTAAATATTTTTAAATACATACATATTATAGATAAATTACACCCAGACACAGAACAAATGATCGTGCTCATCACACAATTATTGGTCCTGGGTGGGAATCGAACCCACGACCTCCGGCTTAGCAGTCAGGGTCACTAACCACTAGACCAACAGGCCAGTTTTACTTTAATGTTTGACTAGAGTGGGAATCTAACCCATGACTTTTGGAATAGCAGTCCGTTGCACAAACCATTACACCATTGATCCATAAAAAAAAGCTTCAATAAACAAACAGTAGTCTCAATATAATGTTATTATGTTGTACTTTGTTTATTGTACATGTGTTAAATGAGGAGACTGATCACCTGATGGTAAGTCACTACTGGCTCCATAAACACTTACGGTGTGTCCCTGTTCTTTGAGTTGTCCCCTCAGAATTAGGGGGTTTCTGCCATGATCGCATGTAGCAGTCATTTTCATTAAAAAAATCGAAAGATTCTGCTTTGTCACTGATACTTGTTTTTTAGGGTTCCGTACCCAAAGGGTAAAGGGACCCTGTTACTAAGACTCCGTCTGTCTGTCTGTCACCAGGCTGTATCCCATGAGCCGTGATAGTTAGACTGTTGAAATTATCACAGATGATGTATTTTTGTGACCACTATAACAACAAATACTATAATAATAATATAAAATAATACAAAAACAGAATAAAATAAATATTTATGGGAGCCCCCATACAACAGGATAATGGTACGGAACCCTTCGTGCGCGAGTACTACTCACACTTGTCCAGTTTTTTTTTTTTTTTTAACTGACTTCAAAAACACAAAAGAGGCGGTTCTTAATTCGCCTGTATTTTTTTTTATAATTCTAAACTTTATAAATTTTAACACCAAGAAAGAGATTCAAGAGGGAAATCATAACAATTTCTTTTTTTTTTTAAAGTACTAATATTTTTAAACTTTTGTTCTTATCTATATTGACATATGTATATTTAATAACCTTTCTACAATTTTTGATAACTTATTTTAGTTTAATTTATTGAATTATAGTTGTTACAAACTTTATTGGATCAACAAAATAATTCATGGCATAATATAAAAAACAATGTTGTAGATTTAGTAGATAACTGTACTAAATATTATTAGTAGACTAGCTGACCCCGCAAACGTTGTTTTGCCATATACATTATTTTAACAAAAATTGTAAAAAAAAAAAATTGATGTATGAAAAATAGATGTTGGCCGATTCTCAGACCTACCCGATGAGCACACAAAATTCCACGAAAATCGGTCTAGCCGTAGGCTAGTTCGAAGGAGTTCAACTTCTAACACCGACACGAGAAGTTTATATATTAGACTAGCTGACCCGCGCAACTTCGTCTGCGTCTCTCAATAGTAATAAATTTTCTCCGTTTTTGAAACATTCTTCATTGGTGCTCCGCTCCTATTGGTCATAGCGTGATGATATATAGCCTATAGCCTTCCTCGATAAATGGGCTATCTAACACTGAAAGAATTTTTCAAATCGGACCAGTAGTTCCTGAGATTAGCGCGTTCAAACAAACAAACGCTTCAGCTTTATAATATTAGTATAGATTAGTAGCATTGGAAATCTGCAAGTTACGGAAGGTTATCAGGGGATCATGTTCATGCCGATGCTTCTAAGTAACGATAAATTGTAATAAACAGTTTATTTTTTATTTATTTTTCTAAATATATTTGCCAAATTTAAATGAGACGAACTTTGAGTAATTCCTTTAAAAAAAATGACAAATTAAGAACCTCCTTTTTGTATCGGTTACTGTCAACTGTAATAAAAAATTACTCCACATTTTCACTCCTATTCGTAATTGTTACGTATAACTCAATTCGTAATGGTTAATACGTACTAAGGGGTCTATTTACATATTAATAAACAACAATCCGGGAGTTGACGTCTTTTCAAAAATATTTTGAAACGCTTCATGTGCCCGTCATAATACCCGTAAAGTAATACTTACTTAGTTTTAATTTAAATGAAAAATAGGTCACAATATGTGGTATTATGGGCACTTGACTAAATATGACGTCATCATACAAGAAGTTTCTATGATAATTTAATGTAAGTGTAAAATTAGCACTGTACTCAGACAGAAATTTTAATATTTCTGTATTCAGAAGAACATAATGAAGAAAGAACTTGAATAGTTTGCCGTAAAATCATTACGTATCTAAAATTATTATTTATGTTTTCGCGCCAACTAAATACAATAAGGACATAGGCTTCTCCTTTCTAAAGAGAGGCCTATGTCCAGCAGTGGACTAGTAAAGGCTGTTGATGATGATGATGATGAAATACGATATATGCAAGACAGCTGATTGGATAATAAGCGATCAAAATTGTACGATTACAATACATTTTCCAATTTTCGTTTCTGGTCGGATGGATGGATGGATCAAAAAATAATTTTTCGAAAAAGAAATAAATTAGTACCTAATTATAATTTCTTAGTTTCTGTTATTTAATATCAATATCCATTTAATAAAATAGTTATTTTCAACCTTGAGACACACTGTCAACTCGCGCATTTTTGCGCACCTGAATTCTTCTCTCGTGATCTTGTGTGTGGAACAGACCCGGATCTACGATTTTTTCGAACCGGGGCAGAAACTTAATAGTGGTGCCCCGGTTTGCCCCCCCTAGATCCGGAGCTGGTGTGGAACTTACCACGAGTACGCTCCGTTGTGATATACAACAATAATAAGGAATATGCATGTATTTTTTTAATTTTTTTTAAACGATTCTACTAGTTATTACATTACCAAAAATAAATATAACACATACGAAATATAAACCGTTAATCAAATTTTTTTTTTAATAAAATCACTATCATTTTGGGGCAATTTGAACACGTCCATTTTGGCGCGCTTTTTTTGTAACGTCAGATTACACTTTCAGACGAATTCGATGTCAACAACGGAGTGAAGTTCACAAAGTTTGTGAAAATTAAAAAAGTGAGTGATAAAAATTAACTTATTACCATGTAAAAGCCAATAAAAACTTATTATAAATATTGTGCCGTTCCTTTGTGCCCAAATAATATCAAAACTGCACCTGACAAAGTATATTCAGTCATTGTGTTGAGTCCTTCTACACGGGAATTTAATAATTTAACACTGAAAACGTATTAGTTATTAACTTAAAATGAAACAAATAATCACCAGATACCAAATATTACAAATACACACTACTTGTTGACACTCTTGACAGTGTAGGTTGACGTCACGTTTTATTCAACCAATAGCTTTGCGTTTTAGAAATTTGCGAGGAATCTTAAAAAAGCCAATTTTTTATGATTAAATTTCACTATTTAATTATAATAAATTTCAAAAATAATTGTATGGGTATCTTTTTTTAGCAATAAAAATTACAAATAAAAATATTTTGTCCATTTTGGTGTCACGTGCATATTCCCTATTTTATCCTTCCTG